TCCACCAGCCACTCCTCGGAAGGAAGATGAGGCAATCTACTTGTGTAGTGATACTGCCTCGGAAACCCAAGGAGGGGTCACTATGAGTCGGGTCCGACTCGACGGCACATAACAACAAAAACAACATAATTATTTTCAACCACAATAGAAATTTTAAAAAAATATTAAAGTTTCAATCTGCTTGAATTTCCGTTTTGTCCTGGAATCAGAACCTGTTGGGAAACTACACAGGGACTGCTTAAGCTCAATGCAATCAGTAACTGTAATGCCACAATGGCCGAAACATCGAAACAACAGTTAAGTACCTGTCTTATAGTATAAGCTGGTAGAACCCTACTGTGTCCACGCGTCAGGGGACAAGGAGACCCACGGAACAGACTGTGTTATACAGGTAGGGTTTGAGCTCAGGATGATCCAGGCTTGTGGTACGAGCAGGTGTTTCAGAATAAGGCTCACTACGCACCATGGAGACAGATGCATCTATCTCTGTGGCTCCTGCTTTGCCTGCTAACCACTTCAAACATGTTCTACGAGGCTCTGCTGCAACCCAGGCACCCCGTGTACCTGCTGTCCTTCCCTCTCTTGTCTTGTTCTCCTTTCTGTCTGCCTGGCTGCAAATCTTTTCATACCTTCGTGGGTTAAGAGTAGACGTCTTATAATCACTAATGCACAAAGAATCTCATTCTCCTCACTTTGGTTACTTGTACAAAGGCATTCAACAGCGTTATCTAAACATATTCGAGGACATTGGAAAAGAAAAAGGCACTACTCTGCATGTTTAGCTCCTATCAACTCCCCCAGCAGCTCCACGGGAGAAAAGGCCTGGTGATCTGGTTCCATAGATTCCAAACCAAAAACACCAAACCCACCGCCATTGAGTCAACTGCACTCACAGCGATCCCCACTGGGTTTCCAAGGCGGTATCACTCCGGAAGTAGATTGCCTAACCTTCCTTCCGAGGAGCGGCTGGTGGGTTTGAACCACCAGCCTTCTGGTTAGCAGGCAAGTGCCTTACGCACTATCCCACCAGAGCTCCCTAAGTATGCAAAAGCATGATGAAGAAGTCTGAAATACTGTGAGAATGACAAAAATGGGACACAGAGACATGCAGTGAGGAAAAATGCCACCGACAGGCTTATTCGACCCAAGGTTGCCACAAATCGTCAATGTGTAAAATACAGAATATGTGTGCAGCACAGTAAGGTGAGGTGTGCCTGTTCTCTGCAGCTCTTAGGACACAATCTCCAAGTTCTACTATGTGAAAGAAAACATAAAAACATTTCTGATATGAGCAGTAACATGGGCGAGCCTTGAAAACATGACACTAAGGGCCAGAAGCCAGACACCCAAACCACATACTACATGAAATATCCCAAAACCCAAACCTAACCCACTGCCCTCCATGTCTGTTCCAACTCACAGCGACCCTTCTTTTTAGGACCGAGTGGAAATGCCCCATAGGGTTCCCAAAGCTGTCAATCTTTACAGAAGCAGATTGCCTTATCTTTCTCCTGTAGAGTGGCTAGTGGGTTTGAACCACTGACCTTTTGGTGGGCAGCCAAATGATTGAACCACTGCGCCACCAGAGCTCCTTATGAACTATCCAGGATAGGCAAATCCATGGATCAGATTAGAGGTCTCATTTAGATGAGGGATTACCAGGGGCTGAGGGGAGGGAGGAATGGGGAGCTGCTGCTTAATGGGTCCAGAGTTTCCAACGGGGGTGATGGACACTCTGGAAACAGAGAAGGGTGATGGTTTTTACAACACGGTGGATATAACTGATCCCACCGGGCTGTTTACTTCAAAATGGTTAAAATGGTAAATTTTTTGTTTTACCTATCTTAACACAATCAAATGAAGACTTAAAAAAAAAAACTATAGAATAGTGTGATTGTGTGTTACGATTGTCTATGTTTTAAAAAGACACAGGAAACACCTTTTTATAGGTGTAAGCTGGCAGGCTGCCCCTAGGAAGGGGAGCTGGAAATAAAAACTTCACTGCCTATCTGCTGTCTTTCTATAAACACTATCATTCTATAAATGTCCTATAAACTCACAAGTCTTCCCACCCCATAGTTTTTAAGATCGAGTCACAGGAATCAATGCATAAAAACAAGCGTGCTGATCTGAGCTTCACCTTCCCCAAAGGACTGAAGGCAGCTTACAACAACGCCAACAGTCAAGCAGGACAAATTAAATCTTAATTAAGTAAAATAGTACAAAGTGAAAGGAAAATCAGGTTGGGGGGCAAGAGAGACTCTCAGGAGGGAGGTCAAGTCCACCAATGACATACTCGCACGCTTAGAGTCAAGCAGATGCTTGACTTGGTTGCTCTGACGGTCAAACACTGTACTTGCCTGATGCATTATGGGCCACAGAAGAGTTGGCATAAATTTCCACTTGGATGAGTAAATGTGCTGAGCAGGCTGCACCGTGAGATGCCGAAACCAGGAGAGCCTGGAGGAGACACGGGGACGCTGAGAAGGAATCGGTGTCATCAGAGGGACAGCGGTCCACATCCCTCTTCAGGCTCACGGTCACCTCCAACACGTTCTGAAAAGGAAGCTGCACTGCACTGTTAGTCACTCAAGTGCAGCTGTGCTGGTGAGAGCCAAGCAAGACGGTGAAAGGCCACATCCGCCTCAGGCCGCTTCACAAAAGGAGCACATGCACAGAGATGAAATCATTCTGCCCTTCTCCGCCCCGTAATCCTACAACAAAGGAGCCCTGGCGCGCAGCAGTTAAATGCTTGTCTGTTAACAGAAAGGTCAGCAGTTCAAACCCACCAGCTGTTCCACGCAGAAAATACCTGGTGATCTGCTTCCATAAAGATGACTGACTAACCTGTTGCCAGCAAAGAATTGATTCTTTAGCAGAAAAATATGACAGCAGCTCCGTAAAGATTAACCCATTACTGTCTAGTTGATTCTTTTTCATATAGATCCTATAGGACAGAGTGGGAGCTCTGGTAGCATAGTGGCTAAGACACTTGCCTGCTAACCAGACGGCTGGAGGTTCAAACCCACCAGCCACTCCTCGGAAGGAAGGTTGGGCAATCCTACTTCCGTAGTGATACTGCCTCGGAAACCCAAGAAGGGGTCGCTATGAGTCGGGTTTGACTCGACGGCACATAACAACAACAACAACAACAGGACAGAGTAGAACTATCCCTTTGGGTTTCTTAGACTAATCTTTATGGAAGGAATGCCAGTGGCATAGTGCTTAAGTGCTTGGGTGCTAACTGAGAGGTCGGTGGTTCAAACCTAACAGCTGTTCCATGGGAGAAAAAAGTGGAGGTCTGTTTCTGTAAAGATTTACAGTGTTGGAAACCCCGCCGGGCAGTTCCACTCTGTCCTCTAAGGGCACTGCGAGTCAGAATCAACTCACTGCAGTGGGTTTGCTTTGGACTTCGCTTCTGTAAAGACTGACAGCCTAGGAAACCCTATGGGGCAGTTCTACTATGTCCTCTAGGGGCGCTGTGAGTCGGAATTGATTAGAACACACAACAATCAGAAGTGCCGACTCGTTATCCTCAGTTAACAGGAAAGAAGGTAACTCTCGGGTACTTACAGAAAGCTGAACACAGGCCTGATGAATGAGGTCAGTTTGCCAAGCATAGTTTATCATCCTACCAGCAGAATATGAAATCCTCAGAAAAGTCCATGGAAACTGTCCCTGATTTACCTCATTGGAATGGCTTTGCACAAGTCTACTAAAAGGTTCATTCCTCAGTGCACAGAGAGATTGTCTTTGTCATCCTTACATCTCTAGAGCGGATGCCTTGCACACAGCATGCCATAGGCTAGAGACCAGCACGCAGTCATTAACTGGAAGGTATTTAATCTCTCCATGCTGGAGCGTCCTTAAACAGAAGCAGAGGCGGGTGGAGCCTGTGGTCACCAAGCTCTTTTGAGCCACAGACACATGGGCTCATCTGACAGAAGCTGGGAGACCTCTAACCACACGTGCATAATTTTACCATTTCAGACCCCTTGAAATGCGCCGAAGGCCGTTGCTGTCGATTCTGAATCAGAGTGAACCCACTGGACAGAGTAAAACTGCCCCATGGGGTTTCCAAGGTTATAAATCTTTACAGAATCAGAGCTACATCTGAGTGGCTGGTGGGTTCGAAGTGTTGATCTTTCAGTTAGCAGCCAAGTGCACTTGTGGTAGTTCAGTTTATGTGTCAACTTGGCTGGGCCTGGTTGAGTGGTCGGGCAGCCGGATGTAGTATTCCCCATGATGGTATCAACTCCATGGTGGAATCTACTGTGAGCAGCTGAGTAGCTGTCTTAGGGAATGTGGTCTGCTTCCTGTACATAAGCAAAAGCCTTGGGGAATGGTCTCTAGCCTATGGCACGCTTGGACCCTGCATGTAGCGGTGTCCTTGTTCAGCAGCCTGCCATGCTCTGCCGACCAAGGGACTTACAATGGACTTAAGCCTGCCATATGGTTTGGTAACATCGGAACTGTGCCTTTTTAATTGTCAACCTTGGGGCTTCTCAGCCTCAGCAGCCAGTAGCTGTCTGAGTGAAGAAATACCTCTAGCTCTAGTGGGCCAGGAGCAGGAGGCAGAGCTGGCCCCTAAGGTTGAGGGGCTTTCACCCAGCCCCTAGAGCCTAGCACTTTGAACTCGTACTTAAAGCCTCCAAATTGTAAGAAGAAACTCCTGTTTGCTAAGACTATCCCATTAGTGGTATATTTCTTGTCAGAGCAGCACTAGGCAACCAGAACACCACTGTTTCACCAGGTTGGTGATTCAAACCCAACAGGAACTCTATGGAAAAAAAGCCTGGATTGCTGCAATTCTCAGGACCCCGGCTCTACAATAAGAAACTGTAGTCTGCCTGTGTATCCACCAGATCCGATAGCCTGCAATCTCACGACAGTTCCACCAGTAATCAAGTGTGTCCCAGTCGATTCTGACTCATGGCAACCCCCGTGTAGAGCAGACAGAACTACGCTCCACAGGGTTTCCAATGGCTGTTTTCTCAGCAGTAGGTCACCAGGGCTTTCTTCCTAGGTGCTTCTCTGTTAGCAGCATGTTAACCATTTGCATCACCCAGAGGTCCATGATAGTTCTAAGCATTGAAAAAGCTATACCCTGTCAAATCGAGAGAAAGTACTCCAGAAACAATAAATGTTCCAGGAAAGTTCTACCTCTGCTCTTACCACAATGGGAGTCACAGTCAAACTCCAGTCTCTTGTCTCATTGCTGGGTACTCCACAAGTTGGAACTGGTAATATTCCTAAGGAAGAGAAGCTGTGTGACCTTTGGGCAGGTAACAACCTCTCTGAGCTTTCTTTTCTGAATTTGCCAAATGGAGCTAAAAATAGCTACAACTGTTCTCAGGAAAGCGCACAATACACATGAGGCAAGTAAGAAAAGCTCTAAAAAAGCTAGGCTTTCCTTCACGAAACCTATCAGAGGGTCAACTTGAGCCTACAGGGGCCAGGCTCCCCACGTCTACTTCGCAGGGAAAGAGGCCAGGAGTGCAAAGGATGCCGCGTCGCCACAGCTCCTTGGGAAACCTGGATCTGGCCCGCCCCCACTGTGCCCACTAGAAGGCTGGACTCTTTACCCGGCTCATCCGGCAACACGGCCAGGGACACGGTCACATTCTCGGTATCTCCAACCAGGGCGGCGCTGACCACAGGTCCGGACATGCGGATGACGGGAGGGATGAAAACTAGACGAGAGGGACAGAGCGGGTTAGTAGTTGGAGGGTCACTGCCGAAGGTGTGCGTGGTGGCTTTTCGGTGGCTGTGTCTTCCAGTGGCCCCCCGAGGAGTCAAGTTTGGCGCTTTAAACCCCCCGTCCCTCAGCAGCCACCCCAGCAGCTCCCTCCCTGTCCGCTCTACACACCCAGGTCCCCCCACAGCGGCTTCAGGACGCCCTGCAGAAGAAGCCACAAAAGCACAGAGGCAGGCGGCGGAAGCCCCATGCCCTGGGCCTCGCGGAGCAGAAGTGCGCGGGCCTTAGAATGAGGGACCGCTGAAGACCAGAAACCCCGGCCCCTGCGGCGTACTGGCCGCCATGTTGTCAAGCGAACGGCCGGAGCTATGGCAACGGCCAGCTAGGTGGAGCGGCTCGCTGCGATTGGACGAGAGGCTACAGAGCCCGCCCCAGGCTCCGCGCCCGCGCACTCTCACCCTGTCCGTGTGGCCTACACGTCCTCTTTAATGTTTAGTTCTGTGAAGAATCGTAGGTCTCAAAGGCGGACGGGTGCAGTTTAAAACCGAAATGTCTCCTACCCTAAAGTTAATTAAGCCACGTTGCAAGAGCAAGCGTACAGACACTGGCTTCTAAACAAAAAGGGTAGGATTTGCTACTTGATAAACTCCATGAGTGGGGTCGGATTTGGGGGAGAGACAGGGTTGTTGAATTGTTTTTCCGCATCGTTCTCCCAGTTTTTGGAAGGGTTTTCTATCGCACAGAGCTCTCAGCACCCCGAAAGGTGGATCTAGTCAAAGAACACCAGGTTTTTCCAGGCACAGGATTCTGCCATGAAGGTAGCCCGGAAGCGTGTCAAGTGTTGTTTACAGTCCGCGGACGCAGGCTGCAGCCTCGGAGGTCCGGCTGCCGGGTTTGAGATTTGGTCCCCACGCCCGCACTCCCAACACATCTTCCAGCTGTGGAGTACCCTTGGGTTAAAATGGTGAATTTTACCACAATTTTAAAAAATTAAGTATGTAGCAATGCCAGGGCCGAACGTGAGGTGTTGGAGCAGCTGCGAGGCCAGTGGGACTGGAAGACGAGACAGGCAGGGGTAGGGGGTGGGGAGGGAGCCAGGGATGAGGTCATGGCGTTAGGCCAGGGTAACCCCAAAATCAAACCAGCTGCCGTCACGGCATCCCCGTGTGTCGGACTAAAACTGCTCGGCAGTGTTCTCAGTGGCTAGCTTCCGGAAGACCGTCAGGCCCGCCCTCCGAGGCACTGCGGGTGGGTTCAAACCGCCAGCCTGGGTCACAGCCCAGCACTGAACCATTTGTGCCGGCGAAGGGCTCCAAGATCAGGGTCCAGGGCTCCTCTTTCTTCCTTCTGGTCGCAATGACCTATTTAGCCACAAAGGCACCCCTGGTGAGATCACTGGCTCTTCAGGGGGTCACACCAGAGTACAGGCGTCCCTCGTTTACAGTACTTCACGTTACTGCGGTCCACAGACACTGTGTTTCGGGGTTATTCAGGACTCCAATGTTTTTCTCCCCCTTCACCCACGGTAATGTGTGTCCACCCTCGATTTAGTGGCTTACCCTCCCTCCCCCATCCACCTCTGGAAATCATCAAAGTTATTTATTATATATTTATTATTATATGCATCAATTTTTTATTGTGCAGCCCTGTTCCTGACTTTTTACGATAGTAGTCTCATACAGCATTTGTCTTTTTGTGCTTAACTTCACTCAGCATAATGGCCTCTAATTTCATTCATGTTACGAGATGTTTCACAGATTCACTGCTGTTCTTTAGAGTTGTGTAATAGTCCACTGTGGGAGCTCTGGTGGCGTAGTGCCTAAGGCACTTGACTGCTAACCAGAAGGCTGGCGGTTCAAAACCACCAGCCACTCCTCGGAAGGAAGGTTGGGCAATCTACTTCCGTGGTGATACAGCCTCGGAAACCCAAGGAGGGGTTTTCCAAGGAGGGGTCGCTATGAGTCGGGTCCAACTCAATGGCACAGAACAATAGTCCACTGTGTGAACACACCATATTCTGTTGGCCCACTCCTCTGTTAATGGGCATTTAGGTGGCTTCCATCTTTTTATTATTGTGAATAGTTCTGCGGTGAACATGAATGTGCATGTTATCTATTCATCCCACGGATCTTACTTCTCTGGGACCTATATCGAGTAGTTGGACTGCGAGAGCATATGGTATTTTTATTTCCAGCCTTGTAAGGAAGAAGTATACTGTTCTCTACGGTGGTTGCACCGTTTTACAGTCCCACCACTGTATGAGGGTTCCAGTCTCTCCACACCCTTACCAACATTTGTTTTGTTTTGTTTTTTAATTTTGTATTACTGCTGGGTGAGATGATATCATTGTTTTGATTTTCATCTCTCTAATGGCTAATGGTACCATACTGCCTAAAGTACTTGACGGCTAACCAGGAAGCTGGTGGTTCAAACCTACCAGCCACTTCTCGGAAGGAAGGTTAGGCAATCTACTTCCGTAGTGATACCATCTCGGAAACCCAAGGAGGGGTCGCTGTGAGTCGGGTCCGACTTGATAGCACACAACAACAACGGCTAATGATCACGAGCAATTCTTTGTTTGTTGGCTCCCTGAATGTCTTCTTTGGTGAAGTGTCTGTTCATGTCCTGTGCCCATTTTTTAATTATTTGTCTTTTTGTTGTTAAGTTGTTGAAGTTTTGTATAAAATGTAGATATCAGCTCCTTTTCTCATATGTTGTTACCCACTTTTTTCCCCAGTCTGTGGGTTCTCCTTTTACTCTTTTGGTGAAGTCTTTTGATACGCTAAGTGTCTCATTTTTAGGAAGGACCAGTCACCTATTTTGTGTTCTGACGTTTGCCCGTTTCAAATCAATACACCTTAAGAGGAGCTGAGTGAGGATGAGACAATGACTATAAAAATCCAAATCAGTCGATTATAAAAACTTACATAAAATAAACCACCAACACAACATTAAAATGAAAACAGGAAAAGTATATAAAACATTTTAAATGACAAAATAATAGCTTCCAATTATTGACACGTTAGATCTATGCTTTCCTTCACATGCAGGCTCATGACACTAGATTCTACTCAGTGAGGCTCTGAAATAGTCAGTGTTGTTGTTAAAAGGCAACCAGATTCTCAGGTGCACAACAACATCTGTGTATATTTGTTACTGAGACCGCAGATCCATAGAGTAAAATCCATAGAAATGATCTAACCCAATCCCCACCCACTTCAACAACACTCAGCTTCTGAGACGACAGAACGAGAGGCCCCCGTCTTATTTACACACAAGGCCTCATGCGCAGTTGGGTCTTTGTCACTATACTTTCTAAACAAACCCAACCAGCTGCTAGTCCATCAGTCGTGCTACACTGTACTGGAATGGAACTCAAAAGAACACTTAATCCCTTCTTGGTTACATAGAAAAATAATTTTTGTATTGTTGAAATGAAAAATAATAATTTTTCTTGTAAAATGGTAAGTTTTCACTATTCAGTTCAAGCTTCTAGATCACAGTTGTCCAATATTAATGCTCCTTCCCCTCCTTAAGAAAGGACAGAGACAGATCTGTATTTGGGACCATGCGTCATTGTAAAGAGCCTACTCGTCACCCTCGGAACTCGGCCATTTGCTTCCACAAATACATTCTTAACACAACTGATTTTGAAGAAACGTTTTCCAACAGACTACTGCTCATTTAAAATCAGGTTCTAAGCTTATTCAGTGACAAACCAGGATTCTTCCTGGGATAACGTGGTCCACACATGCACTGCTGTCAGCAGAAGTACCCGCTAACACCTGAAACCTGGCATGGGTAAGGCTCAGTTTAGATAATGGTCTTATCTGCATGCCGACTGCTGAGTGAGCCACTGGTTAAGGAAGACATTTCGCCTGGATTGATGCCACTAGTCCCCAAGTGACCATGGCTGTTCCGGTGTCGCACACCGCACACTTCAGTCAGGACTCAGGCTGGTTGGCCTGCTCTAAACCTACCGTCAGTCATAACAGTCGAACTCTTACAGGTGATCATCCCATTAAAATAACAAGTCACAGATTCGTGATGTTGCCCCATTTCTAGGTAAATGCCAGCCAGAAGAGATTAAAAAATATGTTCTGTACAATGACTGCCCCCACAAATCAACCCCCACAAGGGCTAGGTGACAAGGCTGTTTTGGAAATATTTCCTGTAAGAAACAAATAACCATGTTAAAAATTGTCATCTCTCCCAGAGCCCTTCCAACGAAGATCCCACCCTCCTACCCTGACCAGCAGCTCTACAAGGCACCAGAACTCGATCCTTCTCAAGCAGATACTTTCAGTTTCTTTTTCTTGGCCTTCAGCACAGGAGGCAGAGAAATCTTGAAGGCCGTCCTAAAATGAGAGAAGACACTGTCAGTGCTCTCAACTCTGAACACTGAGCCACCCCAAGGCTGCAAAGATACTCACTCGCATGTAGTACAGATGGGACTGAACGTGCAGAATACTGTGGGTAGAGGAAAAGGCAGCGTGATTGGAAAACCAAACAGCTGACATATCCATGGCCCTCCCCCAGAACAAAGCAGGTCCCAGACATACTGGACAAGCACACAGAACAGACGTAGCCGATTTCAATGAGGTTCCGATGGCAGAAACAGGCAGCCCTGTAGTCCACGTGAATCGGGGGCGGGAGGATTAGCTGGGCCCTCTGGTCTTGATCAGGAAGAAAAACCCACTGTATGAGAGTCAAGACACTTCTATTCAAGATGCAAGAAAAAACGCCTGGGAGTCCAAAATAAAGCCAGGACACGGTTGAGTCAATTCTGACTCAGTGTGACCCCACAGGACAGCAGAACTGCCTCAGAGCGTTTGCAAGTCTGTAAATCGCTCCAGGAGCAGGCTGCAGGTCTTTTCTGCAGCAAGGCAGCTGGTGGGTTTGAACAACCGACCTTTCAGGTAGCAGCTGAGTGCTTAACCACCGCACCACCAGGGCTCCTGAACCAGGAGTCAGGACGCAGATATTCGTCAGCTAATGCCAGGGAGGATGTGGAGTCAGGATTTTCCTTAGAAATCGATGAAGGAGGGCATTTTTCATTCATTTCATACTGAGTAGGAGTCCCCCAGTGGCGCCATCAGCTGACCACTCTACAGCTAATTAAAAGGTTGGTGGCTCGAGCCCACCCAGACACCTTGGAAAGCAGGCCTGCTTCTGAAGGTCACAGCCCTCCAAACCCCATGAAGCACAATGCAATGCCACACCCACGGGGTCACCAGGAGTCACGATCAACCTGATGGCAAATGGCCTGGTTTTTGGTTTCTTTTGTTTGTCTGTTTAATTCCTGAGTACCTCCCACAGACAGGCACTGCTGCATGAACAGTCGCACAACATCCTGCCTTTGGTCTCCAGGGCTCAGAGACTACCTGAAGCCCACCCTCGTTGGCCACCTGTTTCTCTTTCTTCCTTTCCTTCGATTACTCCCATTGGCCACCTGGCTCCCACCCAGGCTGCAGGGGTCTTTCTCCCCTCGGGGCCTTAGGGCCACTGTGCACATGTCCTTACCAGCAAATACTGCAGGAGGGAGGGCATCTGAGGCACCTTCAAGTACAGTCCCCCTGTGATGTCACAAGCCTGCAAGACACAGCAAGGGCTCACTGCTGAAGGAGCAGAGCACTGGCGTCCCCAGCAAGGCTTCCGCTCTCTGAAGGAGAGGAGGGCGTGGCCCAGCATGGTAACAGGGAACAGTCTCTACACAAACCACACCTGATCTACCCTAAGACCAGCACAACTAGACGGTGCCGGCTCCCACTACTGAGTGTTCTGAGCAGGGCCACAAGAGACGGCTCCTGAGAGAACAGGAGAGAAATGTGGACTAGAAACTCAAATTCCTAAAAAAAAATAAAATAACAGACCTACTGGATTGGTTGAGACAGGAGGGCTCCCCAAGACTATTGCCCTGAGATACTCGTCAACACTGAACTGAAACTAACCCAAGGTCACCGTGGAGCTAAATAACAAGTTGGTTTGTAAAACAAAGATATCCTTTGTTTTACAAACCAACTTGTTACTCACAAGCACTGCATTCCTTTCTAAAATCATCTATAGGAGATCAATGGTCAACCATGACTTTAAAATCAAGATAAGAATATTAAGGGACAGGGAAACTAGATTAATGGAAATGGAACAACCAGAATGGAAATGACAGTGTTCATGCATTGTGAAGAATGAACAATGTGTGTGATTGCTGAGTGGGAACCTACACTGCTGTGCAAACCCTTGCTAAAAACACAGTAAAAAAAACAAAGATGAGAGTATTAGGGGGCAGGGAAACTAGATTAATGGAAATGGAACAACCAGAATGGAAATTATGACAGTGTTCATGCATTGTAAAGAATGTGACCAATGTCACTGAACAGTATGTGTGGTTGTTGAATGGGAACCCACACTGCTATGTAAACCCTCGCTAAAAACACAGTAAAAAAAAAAAAAAATTTCCCCCCCAAAAAAGAGAGCTCTCTCTCCAGAGTGCGGGCCAGACACCACCCAGAATATTCAAGCAGCTTCCTTTTCCCCCTTGGCCAATACCTCTGACCATTTGGAGTTTACAGTATGGGTCTATATATGCCCTTTCTCCTGATTGTTACTAACAAATTTTTATCAATGTCACGTTTATTCATTTTAATTATGTATTTTTGATAACAGCTTTGTTGCAATATAATTCACGTGCTATAAAATGGCACAATTCACTGGTTTTTAGTGTATCTGTAGGTGTGCAACCATCACCACTAGCTAATTCCAGAACATGTTCATCACCCCAAAACAAACCTCCTACCAGGCACCCCCACCTCCTATCCCCCAGCCCCTGGCAACCACGAATCCACTTCCTGTCGCTATGGGTGTGCCTCTTCTGGTAAGTCATAGAAACAGAATCACACACAATGTGGCCTTTCGTGTCTGGCTTCTTTCACCAAGCACAATGTTTTCAAGGTTCACCCATGCTGCAGCAGCAATCAGGATTTCACTATTTATGTGGCTGAATAATAGTCATTCATTCAATAATACACATTTCATTTTCCTACTCACCTGTTTTTAGACATCTATGCTATTTCCACGTTTTGGCTATTAGGAACTTGTGTAGGGATGTCTGTATGGACACATCCCCATTTCTCTTGGCTATGTACCTAGGAGTAGAATTGCTGGCTCATGTCATAACTCTATGCTAAATGTTTCTGAGGAACTGCCAGACTGTTTCCCAAAGGGGCTGCACCATTCTACATTCCCACGAGCAATGAGTGAGGATGCTCCAAATCCTAACAATTGTTACAGTATGTCTGATTACAGCCAACCTAGTGTGTGTGACCAAAGACCACAGAAAAAGTGATGCCTTTGAGTTGTGGTGCTGGTGAAGAATAGTGAAAATACCATGGACCGCCAGAAGAACGAACAAATCTGTCCTGGAAGAAGTGCAGCCGGGATGCTCCTTAGAAGAGAGAATGGCCAGACTTTGTCTCACGTACTTTGGTCATACTGTCAAAAGGAACCAGTCCCTGGCGAAGGATAACATGTTTGGTAAAGTGGAGGGTCAGCGAAAAAGGCGAAGACCCTCAATGAGATGGATTGACATGGTGACTGCATGATGGGCTCAAACATAGCGAGGACGGTGAGGCTGGGCAGGACCAGGCAGTGTTTGGTTCTCTTGTGCCCAGGGTCACTGTGAGTCACAGCCAACTCGACAGCACCTACAACAACAGTAACACATCCTGCCTTCCTGGTCCCCACGAACCCTGCTTCTAAAACATACCTGCTGGAGGAGTCCAGAATCGGAGTCTAAAACACAGGCATCGATCAAAATATTCTGAAATGAACGTAGGAAATTATTACAGGCTTAAGAGCACTAACAACTGCCCACAACTACTCCTTCCCTGAGCCAGACTCAACTCTGAAAGTGCAGCAGCTCATTTGACAGGGATAACTGTGCAAAGCCAGCATGTCGTTTGCATTTTGCAGTAGAAGCGGCCAGGACCCGGCCAGGTTGTGGTCACAGAGCTAGAGGTAGCCAGGCTGTAAGCCCGGTCTGCCCATCTCCAAAACCCATGCTTATCCATTTGGTTGGCCCTGTAAGCTGGAAAACAGTGTGCACAGCTATGACAGCATGTTAGGTCAACACTGAGGTTTTAAGAAAGTTCTGGATTTTTTTTTTTTAACGTATCACTGAAAAAATTGCTTTAGCATTTCTGCATGTGGACATTTCAGTTATTTATTTACAAAGTAAAAATAAAAAGTAAAAAAATCAAATCCTCATAAACCTCACTAAAATAAACAGAGACTGAAGCGAGGTTTATGCAGCAAATTCTCAAACAGAAGCTCTTACCCTGGGGGCCAAGGATGGGTTAAAAGGGCTTAGGTGACCACCACAAAACCACATGCAAAGCTGCGTCTGAGTATCCAGGTTCCTGGGACAGGGCCCATCCAAGGAGCCCAGCATAGTCCCGAGGTGTTCAAGACCCAAATCAAAAATGGCTACTAAATCTGCTGTCAAGTGGATTCCGACTCACAGCACCGCTGGAAGACAGAGTAGAACTGCCCCATAGGGTTTTCAAAGCTGTGATCTTTAGCGAAGCTGACTGCCTCATCTTTCTCACACGGAGCGGCTAGTGGGTTCGCATAGCTGACCTCTGGGTTAGCAGCCGAGCACTTAACCACTGCACCACCAGGGCTCCTTAAAAATGACTACTACAAATTAGGAACTACTGATTCCTCATCCACTCAAAGGCTGTTAGGTTAAAATACCTTTTGAATTCAGTGACCAAAGGCGGAAATTAAGTCCTTCCTTAAAGGACGCTCACCTGTTTCTGGGCTGCGAAGATGACGTTCATGAAGTTCATGTACTGCAGCGCACTGTCTTCTGCAGCCTTGATCACCTGCAGAGCCACACCCGAGTTAACACCCCTCAGCTGTCCCGATGCTCTGGGTCAACTACCAGCACAGTGCACCGCCAGCTACACCCAGGACTGTTTTCTGACTTGTTTCCCACTGACCAACACTGAACAGTACCTAAAAGTATAAAGATGACAGCAACACCCCAAATACTGCTGTGCACAGATAATCTTTGTGAAGGGTTTGATGAACGTCCATCTAGAGTGTATATGGGCAGGTAACACACTCACCTCAAAACACACACGCACACACAGCACTCACCCAAAAAACATACACACAAAACACAACATGCAACAAAACATACACTCACACACAAAACACACAGACACGACACTCACTCAAAAAACACACAAAAAACAGACACCACACACAACAAAACACACACTCTCACACCCCAAAATCTACTCATGTCAATGAATTTAGATGATACCACCCTTCTTGATGACTAGATACCTTCCACCATTTCTAACTGATGATCTGTGAAGAGCACTCTGGCAGTCTCCTGTGTCTAGTTCCACCCATGCTCTGATGGGCACCATCGTACCTCTGGCACATCCTCTAATTACCTCCTGACCATGATCAGCCTGCTCGTGTACATACATTTAATTTCTGTGCAGATTACCAAATTGCCTCCAGAAAAGTTATGCGAAAATAACCGATCTCCAATGCTGACTATTAAAACCCACTGCTGTGGAGTGGCTTCCGACCCACAGCGCCCCTAGAGGACAGAGTGGAACTGCCCACAGGGTCTCCAAGGCTGTCTGTCAATCTTCACGGAAGCAAAGCCCAAACCACACCCACTGCCGTGGAGTCCATTCTGACCCACAGAGCCCCTAGAGGACAGAGGGGAACTGCCCCACAGGGTCTCCAAGGCTGTCAATCTTCACAGAAGCAAAGCCCAAACCACACCCACTGCCATGGAGTAGATTTCGACTCGCAGCACCCCAAGAGGACAGAGTGCAACAGCCCCACAGTCAATCCAGCAAAAAATTTCTTCATTTTTGCTGAGCGATAAGCAAACAATGAAAATCTCATGGTTTTACACTGGCACTTCTTCGTTTACTAGTAAGGCTGGACGTATTTTGAAATGCTAACTGGCCACATGCACAGATTCTCTTGCTCATGTTTTCTACCTACGTTTTCTGGAGTAGAACTTGTCTTTTAAAACTTGAGTTCTTTCGTATCTTAGAAACAATGCATCTGTCAGATAACTATGCTGAAAATATTTTCCTGTTTTTCTTTTGTCCTTATTTTGGGGTTTTTATTTTTACGGGGTACCAATCTTTCTTTTATAGGAGCTCTGGTAGCATAGTGACTGCTAACCAGAAGGCTGACGTTTCAAACCCACCAGCCACTCCTCGGAAGGAAGGTTGGGCAATCTACTTCCGTAGCAATACCACCTTGGAAACCCAAGGAGGGGTCGCTATGAGTCATGTCCGACTCGACGGCACATAACAACACAACAACAACAATCTTTCTTTTAAAGTTTCACATCATACTTTAGCCAGTCAACTCACTATCCAGAGTTTATAAACACATATTTTCTTCTAGTGCTTCTACTACATGAACTTTCAGATGTAAATGCTTGACCTCTACCAGAGGTGTATTTAGCTGTAATCTGTGAGATGGGGGTCAGCTTTATTTTTTTGCCTAAATAGCCAACCAATGAGCCCAATTTGCTTTTTTATTCAGAAATACATCTGTTGTCCAGTAATTTGAAGAGGGTCCTTGATCACAAGTCAAATCCCCATATGCACCTGGGTTTACTTCTAGCCTTTTCCACTTTTGTTGGCCTATTCTTACCCCAGTACCCACAGTTACTGTACCTTTGGAATCTGCTTTAACACCTAACAAAGCAACTTCCCACCTACTATTCTCTCAGAAGGTCCTGACGACTTTCACACAACCTTCCAGATCACCTTTTGACTTTTTTTTCAGTTCTCCCACCCTGCCAGGAAGCCAACCAACCAACCAATGCTCACTGACACTGACCGAGGTCATCCTGAACTTACAGAAAAATTCAGGACACTGGACACCCAAAAGCAAACTGTGTCGCGCCATTGATTTCACTCTAGTATGTCTCTCAGAACTTGAAGGTTTTTCTTCATGCCTGTTTTACACATGGCTTGTAAAACTATTTCCATATTGTTGTTATTGTTGTTGTTTGCCGTCAAGTCGGACCCGACTCATAGCGACCCCTCCTTGGCTATTGTAAATGGACTTTTATTTCCTATTATGTTTTCTAATTGGCTATAGTTGGTATGTGAAAATAGTACTGATTTTTAAAATCTTACCAATATCCTGGACTTCATTTCCTGATTATCTGTACAGAGAAATAAAAGATTATAGCTTAATGGGATTTTATGAAATATATGTATAAAGTTTTCTAACTAATTTTTAAACACGATTATAGTTCTCATAGGAAAATATAGACTCCTACCTTTAACATCCTTGTTCATTCTATGAATGTCTTATTGTTAAAAGCATTAAGGAATACAAAAATAATTCTGTTTCATAAATATGTATAGTAAAAAGAAGAACAGCCTCAAATTTTAAATAATCCCAGAAACCAACTAATGAGAAAAGGAAATGCTCAGTTCACTATGACAAACACACAGCACGTCATCAGGGGGTTTCCAACACTAAGTCTGTGTAATAAGCTGGTGTTTGTAACCTGATAGAAATATGATCTTTGTCCCTAAACTAAAATGATCAACATGTGATTATCCTGGGACTATCCACCAGATCCTAGATTTGAGTACGGGGATCACAAGTAAATCAATAAGCCAATCAAACAGGGTAACTCTGAATGTTATAAAGGTGACAAGACACCCTTGCCATAGACTAGGACAAAAGCGTTAATACTGCCAAAGAGAAATAAGTTACACAGAACTGGGAGAACCCAGAGCAAACGTGGACACCACTGAAATGCTGACTGAGCTATGCCTGACCCTGTGCCCCGTGTGAAACCCCCAGCAGCCTACGGAGAAGCAGCTGCTCGCTGACTCAGCCTCAGGCTCCGTGAATGGCTTTTGAAAATCAAACAAAGCCCCTAATTCAAGAAAGATGGGGGTTAGTAAGACAGAAAAACCAACCCAATGAATCACAGTAAGAAATGAGGAGGCATCCTGAGACCACATTCACTGTAGCTGAAGGTCAGACCGGAGGAATTCGCTGGCAGCTTCTTCCCACTGCCAGTCTTTAGAGTTCGTCTCATAGCATTTCAGGACAAACATCAATCACTTCTGGATTGTCCGCCCCTTCAGGATATGCAGGTCTCCCGCTCATGTGGACACCAAAGGTTCTAAGAAATAGTACAAGATCTGCTAATTGCAGGAGGAGCCGCCTGGGGGCAGCAGACCGAAAGGTAAGGAGCGCGATCCCCCGAGCCGCTGCTCGGGAGAAAGATGAGGCAGTCTGCTTTGTTACAGACTGACAGCCCTGGAGACCCTCTGGGGCAGTTGTACTCTGTCCTGTAGGGCTGCTGTGAGCTGGAACCGACTCAACGGCAGCAGGCTTCCCGTTACAGGAAGCAGGAGCCGTGCGGACGATCGAAGCACGAAGGATACAGCAGAGGGCTTTGGCCAGGGACCCTGCCAGCAGCGTTTCCGTGTGTTGACCCTTCATGTCACCTGCAAACAACAACATTACAAAAGAGGTTTTTAAGTACTTTCTTGGTCTAAAATCATTTTCAAACCAAAGCATTCTTCTCCATGAAGGAAATCAAACAGTAACATTTTCAACTGGGTTTTTAAAAACACAGGGTCTACATTAAAAAAAAAAAAAAAAGGGACCAGGTTTGCTGGTCTGATAGAGCCTGGCAAAACCCCTGAGACTATGGCCCCTAGCTGCCCTTCAGGTCTGGAAATGAACCCACTCCGGTGGCTTCCAGCCAAACAAAAGACAGGCATATGAGCTGAACATTTACACCAGGTAGATACACTCCTTGGAGAGAACAATCATGGGAGAATAGAAGAGCTGTGTATGCACAGGGAGACAGCTTGGGGGGCAGGAGTGCATGGAGGGAAGGACACAGGGAAGAGATAACTATGGGGAGGAAGCGAGGGGGGTAGCTGTTGCATTGTGGGCAATTGCAGTCAATGTCATGAGACAAACTGTATGTGAACTGCTGTACGGAAAATGAAATTGCTCTGTAAACTTTCACCCAAATTACACTAAAATTTTAAAATAAATACATGACAAAAAAAAAAAATGAAAATAAATAAATGGCAAAAAAAAACCACAGGGTCTAGAAACAGACTCAGACAGACATTGGTACACCAAGTGTCCACAGCAGCACAACTGAGAGGCAGCAAAAAGGTGGAGCGCCAAGCTTCCGCCACAGACGGCTGCCTCAACGCGATGTGCCATATCCAGAGAACAGAGTATGATTGGCCATTGGGAAGACTGTAAGTCCTGATGGTCGCCACCACATGGATGAACCCTATTGTTGTTGTTGTTGTTATGTGCCGTGGAGTCAGACCTGACTCATAGCGACCCCTCCTTGGGTTTCTGAGGCGATATCACTACAGAGGTAGATTGCCCAGCCTTCCTTCCGAGGAGTGGCTGGTGGGTTTGAACCGCCAGCCTTCTGGTTGGCAGTCAAGTGCCTTAGGAACTACACTACCAGAGCACCTGAACCTTGACTACAAGATGCTTTTTAGGATAACTCTGGAGGCCGGGGGAAGGACAAGAACGAAGAAAGACAGGAGTTGGAAGAGCAGTTAGCAGTTGGGATCATCTACAGCCACGACTTTCAGCCAGGGGCATTTTGGCCCCCAGGGCACATTGGGAGATGTCTGGAGGCGTGTTTGGTTGTCATAACTGGAGGGGTGCTACTGGCATGTAGAGGGCAGAGGCCAGGGATGCTATCCACATCCTCCCATGCACCAGAGAAGTCCCCACAGCAAAGACCGTGCTGCTCAAACCGCCAACAGCACAGAGGTGGAGGCAGGCCTGACCACTGACAGACGAAGAGGGGTCACAACTGGGAGATGTTTCTGAAGCTGCGGCAGCAGGATTTCATAGCTGATTGGATGCTGGATGTGAGGAGAAGGAAGGCGTCACAAAAGATGAACGCTCTAAATTTGGAGAACCCAGTGAGCGAGGGCAGCAGGACAGGGAATGGAAGTGGTGATGTCGCTGAAGAGAAAGGATAACAAAAGCAGGTGGAGCAGGGAAACTTTGGAGAGCCATGAGCCCGATGTTTACCGCTAAGGCTGGACTTAGAGATGTGGACTGGGAAGTGCTCAGACATCAGTGATCACTGGAGACGACAGTGGGGGAGGACGTTCAGAGAAAGAAAAGAAGAAAATGATGTGCAGAAACAAAACCATCTTGAGGGGTAAGATCAAGGAAGAGCCAGAAATGGAACTAAGAAGGAGTGGCCCCGAAGAAAGGAAAAGGAGGTTAGCTGGATGTCTTGAGAAGTCAAAGAGTGTATGTTTCAAGAAGAAAAAGCTGGTCAACAGTGTCAAACCAGACGTCAGGCCAGTAACACAGAGATAACACAGACACTTCAAGGAAAATGATTTTAACAAGAGAACAGACAAGAGTATCTGTTATGGATTGAACTGTGTTCCCCCAAATACGTGCTGTCAACCCCCCAAAATATATGTTGTAAACCCCAGCCTCGTGCCTGTGTTTATACTCACGTTGGAGAATGGGTTCTTTGTTACATTAATGAGGCCGGATTGTATAGGGTGAGTTTTGAGTCAACCTCTTATCACATATGAAAAACGAGCAGAGGTGGGGGCAGACAGACACCATGCCACATGGAGACCTCCAAGAAGCAGGACACAGAACCTAAAGCAACAAGGACCTTCCCCCAGAGCCGACAGATAAAACAGAGGAAGCCTTCCCCTAGGGCTAGTATCCTGATCTCAGACTTCTAGCTCCTAATTCAGGAGAAGATAAATCTGTTTGTTAAAGCCACCCATTTGGGTGTCTCTGTTATAGGAGCACAAGAGAACTATCTTAAGACAGTATCCAAGTACACAGTATCAAGAACCTCAGATCTTTGAATTTAAGCCCTCAAGGGACTCCAAATTCAACTCCTTTTGCAAAATAACAATATGGGGGTTGGGGGTAAGAATAAAAAAAGCCATTACTCTTGGTCATTAGGTCTTTAATCTCTTCGGCAATCAGCTCATCTGCCACTGTCAGCAGCTCGTACTTCCCGTCCTTACTGCCCGAGGGATTGAATCCAGAAGGAAGGCCGCCGGCTTCTCCCAAGAAGTCTCCCAGTCTGCCGTTCTTCCCAGGGTACAAGAATCGACTGAAACGGGGCAAAAAGAACCCTCGTCACACCCGGACTCACCTCCCTCACCCAGCACCACAGTGAACTCCATCAGAGCAAACACACGAAAACCACGCCAGTTCCAGACTTCCAAGATGCCCTAGTAAGCTGCATTTTTAAAAGTGCACAGAAAAGTGGCAAACCCAAGTCTAACGCCACAGAACGTCACAGTGGTTCCTGCGTTTTCTGGGAAATGAGGGAAAATGAAGAAAGTGTCGTGTCGCACTCTCCTGACATGCCGCAGGGGGCTCCCTGCTTAGCTGTCTCAAAGGGCCATCAGACAGATTCACACCAAACTCTCACTGGCTCGGAGCTCATTCTAGGAGGTGCACATGACCCACCCCACAGTTAGAAAAGCCTGCTCCGAGCTCCTCCCAGTGCTTCATGACTTTCAGAATCATCCCAGAAGGGACGCTTCGGATGTTTGTAAGAAGCGAAGTTTTGCTTCTTAACCTGACCACAACAGCATTATCTTCTCACTCAATGCTGATTCCAATGTATGGTGCTGATGGGTGTGGAGCACAGACCTGGTGACCCATGGGCTCGTTCACCCCAGCAAAGGAAACAGCCCTCAGCACCAAGAAAACTGGAGAACTACGCACTAACCTCACACGAGAGAAGTTGGTGAACAAGAGTCACCTCTATCACGAGGGTCATTCAGTGAAGATTCCGAAGAGCTGGCCCTCACACGGGCTTACGGTCTCCGTCGTGTCAGTGTATGACGGTACAGGCAAATGCGGTCAGTTACTCACAAACCCTTTATACGGGTTCCCAGGTGGCGTCAACAGTTTGCCCTTGACTATTAACTTCAAGGTTGGCGGTTTAAACCCACGCAGAAGAAAGACCTGGCAACCTGCTTCCATGAAGACTATAGTCAAACCAGCTCCAGGAGCACTTCCTCTGTGTGACTCGGGGGTGGCCATGACTTGGAATGGACTTGATGGCAGTGGGCTGCTTTTTTTTTTTTTTTGCTTTGCACTGTCCAGGTGGCCACGTTTACAAATCAGCTGCAGACCTGTGCACCATCCTGCTTCAAGTCTACCCCAGCCAATGGTTACAGCAGTGCTAGAAAAAACCACCCATCTTCACCGGAGCAGCACATGGAGTCGTCGGCTTGGCTACAGAAGCCGATGTTCTGAGAACAATCCATACTTCTCAACACCCGACCACACGCGGCACAGCAAGACCGTCCCACCCTGAGAGGCAGGCAGGAGGTAAGCTGGGTGGAGGGGCAGTGAATCTCGACACCCACTTCACGGTCCCTGCAGAGCAAACGCCGACTGAGCAGGGTGGTAATGGGAGCTGCCTGCCCATCCCACAGTTCTCTCTTTTTGCTTAGTGAACACAACTGATTCTGTGCAAGTTAAATGTGCACATGGTTTAATATCGATTATTATATTAATGAATGAGGTTTTCAATATCCGTGCTGTTGTTAGGTGCCACGGAGTCACTTCTGACTCACAGTGATCCCGTGCGACAGAGCAGAAGTGCCCCATGGAGTTTTCTAGGCTGTAATCTTGATGGGAACAGAGTGCCCGGTCTCTTCTCCTGAGAGTGGCTGGGTGGGTTTGAACCACCAACCTTTCACTTAGCAGCTGAGCTCTCAACCACGTGCATGAACGGCACTCCTTTCCGTATTCACACCCACATCAATGAACGCGTTCTGCTTCCTGCTACTGGAGCTATCATTCACTGCCATAGAAAACGCTTTCTCTGCAACACAGCACTGACAGGGCCAGCTGGCCCAACACCTCACACATGTGAAGCATTAAAAAGAAGAGTGGCGACAGGGGCCATACCTTTCTTGAATGTGACTGGCAATCACAGCAAGTTTGTTGGAACGATTCATGAACAAGTGGGAATTCCCCAGCACCATCACAGCATCCATGCATTTTGATAATGTAAACTATTGGAAAACAGAAGACATCAAAAAGATAAATTAGCTACCCAAATAACTACGTCAGGCCTTGAAGTGATTGAGAAATGATTATTGTTGTTGTTGTTGTTGTTATGTGCCGTCGAGTCGGCCCCGACTCATAGCGACCCCTCCTTGGGTTTCCGAGGCAGTATCACTATGGAAGTAGGATTGCCCAACCTTCCTTCCGAGGAGTGGCTGGTGGGTTTGAACCACCAGCCGTCTGGTTAGCAGGCAAGTGTCTTAGCCACTATGCTACCAGAGCTCCCGAGAGATGATTATAGACAATTATTCACAGCTAAAACTGTGTCCAGGAGCACCCTTCCTCAAAAACCATTAGCAAAAACACTTGAAAACACCATAATCCAAAGGCATCAATTCCTCGGTCTTCCTTACTTATTGTCCAGCTTTCTCATGCATATGAGGCAACTGAAAATATCACCGCAACTTAGTCTTCAAAGTGACATCCTTGCTTTTTAACACTTCACAGAGATAACTTGCAGCGGATTCTGTAAAGACTACAGCCTTGGAGAACCTGTAGTGCAGTTCCACTCTGTCCTCTAGGGGCACTGTGAGTCACAATAGACTCTAAGGCAGTGGGTTTAGTTGGGGCTTTGCTTCCCTAAAGGTTGACAGCCTTGGAAATACGGTGGGACAGTTCCACTCTGTCCTCTAGGGTCGCCGAGTCAGAACTGATGAGAAGGCAAAAGGTTTGGTTTGTTGGTTTTTTGACAAGAGCTGTGGCATATAATTCTTTTGCATCTATTGGTGAATTTGGGAGCTCTGGTGGCATAGTGCCTAAGGCATTTGGCTGCTAACCAGAAGCCTGGCGGTTCAAACCCACCAGCCACTCGTCAGAAGGAAGGTTGGGCAATCTACTTCCGTAGTGATACCACCTTGGAAACCCAAGGAGGGGTCGCTATGAGTCAGGTCCAACTTGACAGCACATAACAACAACAACAAGAACAACAAAAATCACTGAGGGATTATCATAGGTGAATTTCATGGTATGTAAATTATACTTTAATACAGCTGTTTTTGGTTTTTTTAAAAGCAATACAAACATATTCTCGGTTAAACCAGAATTATCTGGAGCCTTAGAGTCTTACCTGAGATTCTTTTAATGCTTGCTTTCCCCACCAAATTGGGTTGGTATCAACTATGATCACTAGAAGATTCAATTCATCTTCTGAAAATTTGAACAGAAAAAATGATACTCATCTCACAAAAGTGAGTCTAGGCAACATTCCCAGTGTATCAAATCCAGAGCAGACCCTACTGCAGACCTGTAAAGGTTTATCATCCTACAACCACAAGATGAACAGAAGGCCAAGGTCTTTTATAGACTTAAAGCTTAGTGGGCACCTGGCAAGCTCCCACCTGCTTTCTGCAGGCTGCACCTTCCCCCCACTTCCACCTCCAAACTGCCGTGTTCTTTCTTGTACAGCAGGGGGAAGGTCTGACCAACTCAAGGCCCAAAAGTAATGCTACCTTACTTCCAAATCAAGGCAGGGAATGCCAGCCCTCTCTGCACCAGGCACTGGCGTATGTAATCCTATAATCCCACTCTGCCAAGTGGGCTTATAAGAGCAGCCCCAACAACGGAAGTATGATTACCATCTTTCATCAATTATAAATTGTCCCCCCCCCTTTTTTTTTTTCCATTTAACTCAGGATGGTCTCTTATGATTAAAATTGGCAGCATGTTTTCTCTTAGTGGTACATAAAATAATAGCACAGTTTGTAACATATGTTGTCTTAGATTTATTCCCAATTTGCAAATAAAAGTAACTTGCCCAAAGTCACATGGCCTGCTGGCAAGTGGCAAAGCCAAGGTCATGCTTTAAAAAGAGATCTGCTTGAATCTAGACTGGTTTTTCATTGCTCCACTGCCTGTCTGTGACCATCAGCAGCATCAATGGCCCTTCTAAGACCCTCTTCTACTGACACTTAGTACTATTACCTCATGTTAGTTAGCTGTTTCTGATCTCTCTTCTCGGCCCTGCCCACTAGACTATGGAGTTCCTTAAACAATGATTTTTGCTGCTCCTGGGATAAATTAAAAACGTGTAAATCACACAGCAAAGTGCCTAGCACAGAAACAGCGTTAATAACTGTCCTTCCCACAGGCCTCTCCTCTACCTATAAACCCCTCAAGCCTTAATCCCCATCAGGCCACACGTCACAATTCTCAGGACCATCAGTTCCTTGCTGTTACCAAGACACCTGAGAAAAAGACAGCATGTTGCCTGTGTGAAGAGTCATGTGTATCAGTACATCTGAAATGTCCCTGTGAATGTCTTCCTTTGCGTCTCCACCTCCTCATGGGTACCTCTGGAAATAAGGACAACAAAGCCAGGTCTGCCGACCCCACAGGGATGTAGTGTGCATTAAGACAGAAAAAGGAAGCACAGACAATTCTGACAATAGGTCTCCCTATTTCTACTCTTGCTCCCACAGTCCCCTTTCCACACAGCAGCCAAAATCCGATCATCACCTTTGTTTGCTTGGGGCTGCCTCCCACTTAAAGCTCAAGCTACAAGGCCCTGCATGATCTGACACCTAGCAGCTCTCTGCCCTCATCTTCCACCATCTCCCTACTTCACCCTGCTCCACCCATCCTGGACTCCTTTTCTTAAGACATCAGGCTCCGTAATGGGAAGCTTGGTGGATGAATGAATGCCTCCCCGCCTTTGCTATCGCCAGGTACCCACTCTGTCTTCTCAGGGCCTCTGCACTTACAGTGCACTCCCCCAGAACCTGGCAGAGCATTCAGTCAAGTCTTAGTTTAAACATCACGGTCTTCCCTGAACTATGTAAAACATAAAACAGCTCCTGCTCGCTCACCTCCTAGGCCCAATCCACTACATCATCCTACCGTATTGTTCTCGGGGCTTCTGCCAGCCCCTGAAATCATTTTTATTTACCTGCTTACTGCCTGTCTAGCCCACTAGAATGTAATGCCTGGCAGTGAGCAGGTGCTCCGAACGAATGCATTCGCTACTTCTTTAAAGACCAAATACTTCCCACCCATTTGGCTGGTGTTGGTCGGGCAGAGCCTGCCCAATCCTAGAGCGAATCTCACCATCGGAGACCATGGCGGCCCCAGCACCTCCGCGCGGAGCCTGTAGCAGACAGGCAGGCCAACGTCTAGACTCCCCGGACTTCGACTTCCGTCGCCGCCCAGTGACATCAGGCGTGTTTTGACCTGGGCCGCGCTGCGTACTCACAGCCACGCCTCTGGCGCGCCGGAAATGAGGTGAAGAGTCGCGTCGCGTGCTGTCAGTCTCAGTGGCTCGGAGCCGAAGCAGAGGCGAGATCCTACGAGGCACCGCAGGAGATTCTGATCTCTGGCTTCGCTGCCGGAGCGCAGCATGGACGACAAGGGTAAAGCGGGGCAGGGCAGGCTGGGCCTACTGGGCCCGAAGTGGGGCGGGATCCCCCACCTCGCACGCCCAGACTGGGCTCTGAGAGAGGTCCCTTTCCAAGTTCAGCTTTCAGGATGTGCTGCTTCTAGTAAAAACTCTCTCTGTCTCGCTGCTCCTTTCTGTGGGGGTGGGCCCGAGAGTTTCCGCAGACACCCGTCCCTCGGGCTCCCTCCCCTGCCCATCCTCCAAACAGGCGAGACTTTGGACGAAGTGTGCAGGCTTTTGAGGCTGCCCTTTCTTCATATACGAAGTAGGAACAAAACTCCCTGCCCTGTTGCATCTGGATCTGTGACTATTTAAAGAGTGAGGCATGGTTGACAAACTCCTCTCCTGCGGTTTTGAAAGTGCTTTAGTAAGTGAAGAACAGGGCAAGCTAACACATACAGTCCCGTTCGTGTAAAATAAATAAGGGCTAGTGGAACTCTGCGTAAGCATATGAGCATACAGGGAGGCCTGGATTACAAATGAGTTCTATTCCTAAATCTCTCTGAGTTTGCAGAATGGTTTGGTAGGATTCATAGCTAACGCCAGCAAGTCGTATGTTTGTCTTAGTATGTAGTATACCTTTCTATGCATAAAATGTATTTAAAAACCTTCCAGATATGTTAAAACATCTTTAACGTAATAACACAATGATGACGACAATGTTGTGATGCACACCGCAAAGCAGCACCCGCTTGTGATTTGGAATCATTGTATATATCTCAAGATTTTAATAGGATTTGTTGGGGCTGGTTTGGGTTAGGGTTAGGGTTCATAACTACAGGCTGTGTCCAAGTCAGACATTCGTAACCCAGGAACTGTCTGTATGCCTCTGTGAGAGAGAGATATGCCTCAGAGAGAGAGAGAGAGAGTGTGTGTGAAGATGTCTGAATTACTTAGACTCTCCCTGGAAGGATCTAGAAGGAACTGGTAATGGTGGTTGACTCTATAGCCTCTTAAGACTTGGGGTCAAGGACAGGAGAGAAAATGGCCCTTCACTATCATTTAGTAGAGCTTGAATTTTATACCGTGAACATGGATAGCCTTTCAGAATGAGAGAGAAAGAAAGCCTGCAAACAGTAAAGTGACATTGTTTGTTTCCATTAGCATTTATTGTGCCCCTGAAGTTTGCATATAGCCAGAGCTTTGAAAAGATTTTCTTGTTTCCTAGGATTATTGTTGTTGGGTGCCACTGAATCGATTTCACCTCATAGTCACCACATGTGACAGGGTAGAAGTACCCCACGGGGTTTTCCAGGCTTCGTCTTCATGGAAGAAAATCACCAGCTCTTTCTCCCATGGACCTGCTCGGTAGCTCTGAACCAGCAGCCTTTCCATTAGCAGTTGAGCGCTTAATCTCTTTGCTGCTGGGGCTCTTTTTTCCTAAGGTTCACCAGCGTTAGTAACCTCTCTGGCCTTACATCCAGCTTAGTGAGTTTGATCCATCACTCTTCTCTCCCTTCCCAGAGTTAATTGAATACTTCAAGTCTCAGATGAAAGCAGACCCTGGCGTGGCCTCCGCGGTGGCTGCCATCCGCACTCTGCTGGAGTTCTTGAAGCGAGATGAAGGTAAAGGAAGAACACGCTCAGACACATTGGGGCTCAGCAGTATCCTGACCACTGTTAGAAGCATAGAAGGCGCCTGCCTAAGGTCTTCCAACTCCATGCTCACCTTCCTTCATTAAAGGAAGACCTTGAGTCCTCCAGTTAGCATCAAAGGCCCCACCCCCTTTTTGATAATCTTACTGCTCTGTTGTTAAGAGTATACACAACAGAACATACACCCGTTCAACAGTTTCCACACAATTCAGTGACACAGAATACATGATTCTTGGAGTTGTGCACCCATTCTCACCCTCCTTCTGTGAATTCTTCCTCCCCCATTAACATCAATTCTTGGCACAGGGGCTCGCTTTGTAAGTGCAGCAGGCTTCCAGTCAGAGTAACTGCTCTATCAACCATCGAGTTTAAAGTGCATCAGTCGTTTAGCTTTGCACTTGTTCATTGAGGACTTACCCCGCACCAGATTCTGTGCAAGTGCGAGAATGTTCTGGAACAGTTTCTGGTGCTGATCTCCTTAACTGTGATGTTAATTCAGGCATGCCAACGTAAGCACTTGGGTACAGGATGACATACTGTGCAAGGAAATTAACAGTAGCAGTGCCCCCAAAAGGGCTGACCTAGATGCGTGTCTCTGACATGACCTCCAGGCCCTTCCCCTTGTCCTTAAAGTACCACCCGAACACCTGAGCCTCACCTGCAGTAGGGTGCACGCCTCCACAGGTAACCCCTTCCCATGCTGCCCCTCCCTGAACCGTGCCATACTGGCCTCTGTGTCTCTCGTGCCAAGTCGGTTCCCATCACTGAGACTTTGCATTGTTGCCATCTGTGCCTGGAACCTTGCCCACTAGATCTTTATGGGACTGAATTCCTCCTTGGCCTGGTGTGGTCTCCCCATCCCAGGGGCCACCTGTTAACCTCACCTGAGATAGCTCCACCTTCCCCATTCGGCTTGTTTCTCTCCCATCACAATCTGCAATTAACTTGCCTATTTAATTGTGTGCTTGTTTACTGTCTGCCTCTCCACTGAAAGGGAGTTCCATCAGAGCAGGGATTCCCTTGGTCGCTGGTGTATCCCCAGCAACTAGAACGAGCCTGCCTTAGTGTACGCACTCAGTAAATACTCGCTGAATGAACTCAACGCGTCTTAGTCGCAACCAGGGGCTGCGATGCTAAGTGAACATCACATCCTCGTGTGGCTGTTCCAGGGGAGACCATCCAGGGCCTGAGAGCCAATCTCACCAGCGCCATAGAAACCCTGTGTGGCGTGGACTCCTCCGTGGCGGTGTCCTCTGGAGGGGAGCTCTTCCTCCGCTTCATCAGCCTGACCTCCCTGGAGTATTCTGTAAGCCCCGCCCCTCGGCCCTGCCCTCCCGCTCTCCTGTCTGCTCACAGACATGCTCCACACCCTCCCCTCATTTTCCTCTTTTCTCCCTAGGATTACTCCAAATGTAAAAAGATCATGATTGAGAGGGGAGAACTGTTCCTCAGGAGAATATCGCTGTCGAGAAATAAAATCGCAGATCTGTGCCACACGTTCATCAAGGACGGGGCAGTGAGTAGTTGCCTGTGACGTGGGGTAATTAGGAGCAAGGTCAGATTGCTGGGGGGGATATCCTGGCTCTGCCACTCATTTGCTGTGCAACCTTGGGCAAGTTCCTAAACCTCTCTGTGCTGCTTTGGTCCCTAACATTAAAAAAGAGTAATAACAGTACGTACCTCGTAGGCTGATTGTGAGGGTTAAGTGAGTTAGTATGTGGAAAGGGCTTAGGACTTGCCAGCACCCAGGGAAGCCTGATAAACGTGTGTGGTTGTCATTATACACAAGAGCCTGCTGGCACGGTGGTTAGTGCTCAGCTGTTAACTCAAATGTCAGCAGTTTGAATCCACCAACCAGTCCAAGAAAGAAAGATGAGTCAGTCTGCTTCTGTGAAAGTTTCCAGCCTTAGAAACTCCACAGGGCAGTTCTGGTCTGTCCTGTGGAGTCACTGTGAGTCAGAATGGACTCAGCAAAGGGTTTTGGTCATTATAAAAACATGCTGAGAAAAACCCTGGGCCAGCATGGAAGATTCTTGGTTTAACCGGATGTTTTACTAAAGTATCTTTATTATTGGTCTTGTATTAAATCAGTCTGGTTGAAATCAACCCAGAACAGCCCTGTCCTTGGTTAATACAGAACACCTCCCCAGTGAGGAGCGGCTCAGGACCGAGGCTGTCTTTACAACTTCATTTCCCACGTTACTATGGAGACACAAAGCTGCCAGCCTTTTGTGTGTGTGTGTGTGAGGACAGGCCAGAGCTGGAAGTTGAGCCAGTCTCCCAGCAAAGGGCTAATAAAGCTGTTACAGCATCTCTCCCACCAGCAGACGGCCTTTTTGCCAACTAAGCCTCTGCTGACCACAAAATTACTGACTTGCATTCAGCTCTTAAATCTTGTTTTATTACCCTTTTCCCAACCTTTGAAGTACAGTATTAAATCAGTGATGTAGGTGATCTGACTAGTACTTACACAAAAGCCAGTTGCAAACAAGGCAGTTTCTGCCAAGTACATGCCAGGTGAGGACGGCCTCTCCCCAAGGCCAGCCCTCTGCAGACTTGCTGCACCATGGGGCTGGTGGTCTCACCGGCCCCAGTGGGGCGTCGTGTGCACACGCCGTGCATCAGCACTGCCTTAGGCTGTGTGTAGGGCACAGTGAGAGGCCCTGGGTAGTGCAAATGGCTAATGCACTCAGCTGCTACCCAAAAGGTTAGCAGTTCAAGTCCACCCAAGGCACCTTAGAAAGCCTGGTGATGTACTTCCGCAAGATCAGCCATTGAAAACCCGCAGAACGCAGCTCTGCTCTGGCACACAAAGCGTCAGCACGGGTCAGAGGGCACCCACAGCAGCTGAGTCTCCTGGGCCTCGGATTAGATCCAGAGCTGGGTTCGGCAGGTCTGGGCGGGGCCTGCGAACCAGCATTGCTAACAAGCTCTCAGGTAAAGCCAAGGAAGGAGCAAGAGGACTAGCACCCACCCATCTCACGTTACACTGCTCTGCACTCCCTCCCCCAGACTGGAGGTTCTCTACTCGTCAGCACACTGGATCTAGCCCACGCATGTTGTGTAGTGTTTATCTCAGTGTTTATCAAATTGCAAAACATTCGCTGTTGCTGTTAGGTGCCATTAAGTCGGTTCTGTCTCACAGCGACCTTCTGTGACAGAAGGAAATGTTGCCAAGTGTTGCATCGTCCTCACATTTGTTGCTATCCTTGAGCCCATTGTTGCAGCCACTGTGTCAGTCCATCTCATTGGAGGTCTTCCTTGTTTGCCGGCCCCTACTTTACCAAGCTTGATGGACTGGTCCCCCCAATAACATGCCCAAAGTACACGAGACGAAGACTCACCATGTTCACTTATAAGTAACATTCTGGCCATACGTCTTCCAAGACAGATTTGTTCATTCTTGTGGCAAGCTGTGGTGTATTTTAAAACATCCCATGCTCCCAGAGAAGGCGGACTCTCTCGGTTCACTGTAAGGTGCCTGTTGCATCAGTCAAACTCTTGGCTTAGAGAGAAAATTAGTTACCGGTGTTGAGATGCTGGCTTTCCAGCTGCTGCAGAAGCAGACGGTCTGACTCCCCTCAGCCCTTCCCTTTGCCACTGGCCCTGCGAGGCCTGGGGCCCCTCAGCCCAAGTGTACAACACGGATCTTAGAAATAGAAAGCCAACCCGAAGAACAGAATGGAACTTCAGATGCAAAGGCTTTGGGGTCTTACGAGGAGCACTGCATGGGGGTCCCACCTCTGCACCTGCTATGGGATGGGGAGACCCTAATAGATTCCTCCAGCAGAAACCTCTTTCAACTTGTCCGTGGCCTTGAAGACTGGCGCACAGAGGAACGCCCTTCTGGTGACAGTGGGTTTGTGCAGGAAGCCTGTGGAGAAGCCTTAGGTTCCCAGGAGCGTGTGTTATCGTGGCAGACAGTGGAGGGGAGCACAGGTAAGCTGCCTATCTGATGCAGCCCTCTTGGTCCACAGAGGATATTAACTCATGCCTACTCCAGAGTGGTCCTCAGAGTCCTGGAAGCAGCTGTGGAGGCCAAGAAGCGCTTCAGTGTGTACATTACAGAGTCACAGCCGGATCTGTCAGGGCAAGTATCTCCCCGTTCGGTTACATGCCCCAGTCACTCTCAGGAGCCTTCTGAGGCTTAGACTCCGTGGTAAAGAGAGTGCGTGCCCATCCTTGCCTGTGCCCTTTCCTGCTAGGAAGAACAAGCACTGGCACCTCACAGGTTGCAACACAGGCTCTAGGGGTGTGTGTGACTAGTTACATCAGAGGAACAGCACCAAGTGACTGAAAAACTCTTATCGAGGGTCAGGTACTTCCTGTCTCCATCTACCCAGAGGAAAGCAAAACTCTCTCCCTCATCCTGAATTTGGTATATGTTGCCGAGTCCCCAAGAATACAATTTTCCTGAAATACACACTTCGTTCTAAAGAACCCAAAGTCTTGTTTCTTCACTCCAAAGTCTTGAGATTTGCCCCTTACCCCATCACTGTTAACTGAGTTTCAACCTCATATGCTTTATCATTGTCCAAATTATCACTGTGGGTCTTTCTGTAATTCTCTCCAATGCTCTCCAAATGTCATCTTCAGTAAGAAAATGGCCAAAGCACTCTGCCACCTCAATGTCCCCGTCACCGTGGTCCTGGATGCTGCTGTTGGGTAAGCACCCATCTCTCCTGGCCATGTTCACCTTTCTCCAGCCCCAGCGTTGGCTTGGAGCAGGGTTTTCAGATGGAAGGTCTGAGTCCATTCATAAACCTGCACTGATCACACCCCAGCCCCTAATTAGCAGTTAGGTTCAGGCAGCACGCTCATCGTAAGTTAGGCCTCGGCAGTGCATGCACGAGACAGGGCAGCAGCAGGCGGGGAGAACAGGCATGGTAGGCGCAGGGCTATGCGTAAAAGCTGTCCTGTGTTTTAAGAGCAAGATGCCAAGGTCAGATTAAGGTCAGGGTGTGTAATTAGTGTTTTCTCCACATCCTAAAACACACTGACCTCAATGGCACATGGGTCATTTTTTTTCACCCAGGCAACCTCTCCCTGAGACCAAGGTCAGCCAGCCCCTGGACTGCCAGCGCACCTCACAAGAAAACAAGAGGCAGAACCTCTTGGAGAGAAAACACATGGCACAAATGTCAGGGGAATTAGGAAAGGGTCCAGGGCATACACCCGGTGGACCGTGACTCTGCCTTCACCCTACTGGGCGGGCTTTCAAGCCGCATAGCACACTCTTGCTAATTCCCAATCACAGCAAGATTTTTATTCCTGAGTTGTCTGTATAAGTAGATCAGCACACGCACACATGTAGGAAGGACTGATATTCCTACTCATCACTTACTATCTTGTCACCTGATATTCCACAATGACAACAGTAAAAAGCCCATTATCCAACTCTTACACATCAATGATCTAGGTCTGGCAATAACGAATGCCAAAATGTAGGGCGAGAGTGATGCTGGCTGTGATGGTTGTGTGTCATCGTGGCTGGACCATGAGTCTCAGTGGTTTGGCAGTGTGTAACGATGTAATCATACAGTAATGCAGTGATGTAGTCATCCTCCATTTTGTATGCAGCACACAAGACAACCTCCTCAATGGGGTAAAGTCCATTTTTTGCTTGAGGCTAATTTTTACACAATGGCCTGTTCTTTGGAACCTAACCACGTGAGGGATGGGTGTATTGTTTCCTGAAATTTTCCTTCAACGACACACATACCATGTGTACACATGTACTGTGTGGTGGTATAAACTATGCATGTAACTTGTGTACATATGTTCTCTGCAATGGTATAAATGGTGTCTTACCATGGTAGGTCATCTTGTGTACTGGGTGGTCTTCTGAAGAAAAGTCGTTGGGATAAACTCACCACCATGGAAACAGAACATTCATCTTTTTTTGAGTGCATGAAAAGTACTTTTTACAAAAACTAGTTTGGGCATTGTAAAATGAAAGCAGACAAGGTGTTTGCCGACTCAAAGGTGCTGTTGGAAGCTGGAGAGGTAAATCCCAAGGCTTGCTCAACCCACGTGACCCAGAGTGAGCCGCCATTCACCTCACTTCCACCTCTGCTTCCCTGCGGCCTTTCCCCACATCCTCCCACCCTGTCCCACAGCCATGGCACAGAACTAAAACATAACTGAGAAACCTCGTTCTTACTGAACCACTTCGAAATCTCTACTTTTGTTGTTTTAATTGGATTTTAGTTCCCTCTGGAAAAGTTCTGTTGATTGATGTGTGCAGAACGTTAGTTTTTGCGGACAATGCTACTAACGAGAGCCAAGGAAAACCTTTTTGTTTTCCCCTTAGCTACATCATGGAAAAAGCAGATCTTGTCATAGTTGGTGCCGAAGGAGTTGTTGAAAATGGAGGAATTATTAACAAGGTAGGCGCACCAATTCTTGGCCACTCTTGCTCCAGGTGTGGAGATGCGTTACTCAGCAGTTTGTGTCCTAAACCTGGTCAGCCTCAGGACTTGGTCGCTGCGTTGAGTCGCTTTCGCTTTCCCTTTCCCTTTCAGTCAAGAAAAAAGCTTATTTTGGTCACATTTCCTTCTGTTTTGGAGATCTGTCCATGTTTTTAAAGCCAGCATATGACTTGAATCTAGTTACTTTATTACAATTTCTCTATCTATTGCTCGACTTGAAAGGTTTCATGAGAGGTTTTCTCTTTTGAAAGATCCTCTTAATTCCCAAGCCAGAGTTACGGATGTGTCATGTTCGTCCACACACTTAGTTACTTCTGCCTCAAATGTGCAGGCCTCATCCTTCTCTGGTTTTTCTCACTCCCCAGATTGGAACCAACCAGATGGCTGTGTGCGCCAAAGCACAGAACAAGCCTTTTTATGTGGTTGCAGAAAGCTTCAAGTTTGTTCGGCTCTTCCCACTAAACCAGCAAGATGTCCCAGATAAGTTTAAGGCAAGAGTTTTACATACTTGAAGGGGTATTTGAGTCTAGACTAAAACCTGCGGAAAAATGCAGTGCTAAGAATGGTCCAGTAAGTTACTCACCTTCCACTGCAATTTCCTCCAACACTTGGGATATAAAAAAAATGAGCAGCCGTCAAACTTACAACTCAAACACATTTGTTCCAAAACTTTCAGTCCATTGGTCTCATTCCTGTAAGTAGCATGATGCATATGCCAAAAGGAGGCAGGAAGAGCTAGTGGTTACAGTCCAAGCTTTAGAACCAGACTTTCTGGGTTCAGCTCCCATCTCTACCACTTCCTTCCGTGTGATCTTGGGCCAGTCTTTAACCTCCTTGAATGTGAGTTTCCCTTATCTGCCAAATAGTTTAATTGTATCCAAGGTGATAAGGATTTACAAGATAATTCCAGTGAGGTCTCAGCACAGTACCTGCACTAAGTGCTCTATAAAGTCTTCTTCTAGGAGGTTGAAGGACTTCATCCAACACTGAGGGGAGGTGTGATTGGTTGAAGGAGTTCATCCTGCACAGAGGGGAGGTGTGATTGGTTGAAGGAGTTCATCCTGCACAGAGGGGAGGTGTGATTGGTTGAAGGAGCTCATCCAGCACAGGGTGGGGGGAGGTATGATTGCTGGAAGGAATTCATCCAGCACAGCAGGGAGGCATGGTTGGGTTCCCATCTCTTGGGCGCTGCCCTGTCCATCACCTTCTCTCCACTAGTGTCCTGAGAGCACTTGCCAGTAGTGGTGCACTCACTGGCCCAGCTACAGCCTCACCTGCCCAGAGCCCTAAATGTGTGGAGGACTAACACCCATGTTCCTCTCCTTCAGTACAAGGCAGATACGTTGAAGTCTCTGCAAACTGGACAAGACCTCAAGGAGGAGCATCCGTGGGTTGACTACACCTCCCCATCCCTGATCACACTGCTGTTCACAGACCTGGGTGTCCTGACACCCTCGGCAGTCAGCGATGAGCTCATCAAGCTCTATCTGTGACCACGGGCATCCTGTCTGCCAGCACTCCATCTCTGTGGTTGGGGCAGGGCGACTAGCCTCTTGACCTCTCCATGAGCCAGGACAAAACAGAATTTTTTAACAGAGATCTATGGACTAAGAATTTGAAGTCATAAATCTTTTCTACTTGGTGTCATCTAAGATGTGTTTGTGGTTCTCCTAAGACCCAACCTAAATTTCCCTTGAGGTTTTGAGAGACTTCACACATTTTCAATTTCTAGAAATACAAGTTAGTAATTGGCTGTTTGACAAGTCAGCAAGAGGATGTATCCCAGTCATGTATCCCTTCATCTTCCTCTGCTCGTCACACTGATCTGCCGAAAGCATCCATCACACACACACACACGGAGGCCTAAGAGCAGCGTTCCTGATGACAGCCCGGCTCCTCCTCACTGCACGGTTACCCGTGTGCCTCATGGAAAGGCACGGAGCACCTGCTGGATCTGCGTCAGGCCCGAGGGTACGCACAGCAGGGGCTGCCATGGCCTCGACCAGAGTGAGCCAACAGGTGCTGAGCAGCAGTGACCCTGCAGTACCCCCCGCGGACGGGCGCCTCCTGAAGTATCTGTGAGACACAGCTTCCCATGAGAACTTGCTGGGCTCCTGGACAGCTTTTAAAAATTGTACCTGGGAACAAGTTCAGGGTCTTTTCATAGAAATTCTTTGAGAGACTTTGCTGTGTTGTTGCATCAGTGGAAGCCGGCCATCTCAGTGACCACACCACGCAGCCACACTGACACACTTCAGCTGACTCAAGGGATCTGTCATTTATCCCAGAGGCAGAAGAAGATCTGTTTCCTTTCCCAGGATGTGACTTGCTTCCTCGATTTCACAAATACTCAGCATGAAGCAGCACCAGGGCCTCTCCTTAGGGAACCACCACAGCTACCAGAGCATCCCCTTGCGTAACAGCAAACCAAAGCCCCGGGGTTCAATGCACCTGAGAGGCCAGGGGACTGAAAGCACCAAGGAACACAAAAGGGTGAGGTCAAGTATGTTTCAGTATTTTTGTATTTTAAAAAGGTAAGAAATAGCCACAGAAAAATGACCCTGTAATTGTAGGTGACTCATCAAAATAAATACTGGCGTCCATGGTGTACACTACCGGCATCTCACTTTCTCCTGTTAGACTGTCTTCAGGACTGGTATGATTTATAGTAAAATGTTCACGAGCAGGAAATCCCTCGTCTCTCCCAGGCTGCACGATGGTTTTCAGAGATGTGGTGGGTCTTCATAGCGGTCTGCTGCAATCCCACTCTCCAGCAAGAGCAGATGGGACTATGCACCGAGTTTGGTCCCCATATTCCCTATGTGTCCCTGTTCTCTCATGTGACCTTGGAGGCTCTGAGATCAGCAGGCATCTTCCAAATCGGAGATCCTAAAATCTGTCTTAATTGTCCTTTTGCCACCTCTCAGCAACCCCTTCTCAAATTCTTCTTCAGTGATTTTGCCCTTTTTGAACTTCTTTAAGAGTCTTGTGTCATTAAGAAGTTCCTCCATGTCCTCATCTTCAATGTCAGAACCCTAAGTGCAAAAGAAATCCACAAACACCTGAATCTCCCAGAAAACATTCTAATTGAAACCAGTGCTATCAGCAGCGACTGCCCTCAGCCTGCCACAGAGACAGCAAGTTCCCACCCTAGTCGCCAACTTAATATAGAAATTTGAAAGCCCTGCTTAATTCCTAACTCTTACAAAAGACTGTATTAACATCAATCCATAACCAAAAATACTGTTCAGAATTCCACGTTGAATACTTAAGGAAAACAGCAAATCTTACCTCTTCCCTTTTCCTTTTTTCAGTCATTTTTTTCTTCTTTTCCTTTTTGGCCTTCTGCTTGGACCAAGCTTTATTTTTTATGAACTTTTTTCTGCCTTCATTTTCTGTTTTCTTGTCTCTTTTCTGCTCCAGTAGCTTCTGCCTCTGCTTTTCTCTGATTTTATCTTTAAAGGGGATCTTGTCTGTATTAACATCCACAGGCACAAAATCTGGGAACTGCTTCCCTCGCAGCTCTGGCATCTTGGGCATCTTCAGCAGGGCAAAACCTCGAGCAAGACTGGCAAAATCGAGGTCTAATTCAACCAAAATACCAGAGTTAGCACATCCAAAATACAAGAACAAGAACCAACAATGGAAGACGCCTCACAATGTAATTATTCTAACCAAAGGATTTAATTCCATGAGAATTAATAAAATAATTGCACTTTTGTAAGGTAAGCAATTCCTGTTTATTCCACTCAGCAGCCAGTGGCCAGTTTACTCCACTTTGAGCCGAAAGAGAACCCTTTTAAGTGTTTAGAAAGCATTAACCCGGACACATGCCTACCATGTTTTACACTGAGGTGAAATTCACGCCTAACACTTATATAGGACAAATGCACTTCAGTTGTAATACTCCTAAGACTCCAACATCATGTACATAATAGAGGTAATACACACTACCAGGTATGTAAGGTGCAGTTATATGAAGGAAATGCAACTCACCTTTTAGCCTGAAGATTAGGTTACACTCGTGTTTCGCATAAGCCTGGACATACGACACAAAAGCTTTCATCCCCTTTTCAAACACAGCTCTGTCAGCCAGCGCCATGGCCTTCAGCTTGGGAAGACAGTCCACGGTGTTCTTCTGAAGTCTCATCTCCTGCAGGGGGCACTACACAAAGCCAAGAGCTCACTTCTGGGCTGGAATCCCCCACCCGATGCTCCCTCGCCTGTAAAGCCAAAGCAAAAGCACTCGCTGCCATCGGGTCGATTCCGACTCACAGTGACCCTATAGGGTAGAGTAGAACTGTCCCACGGGGTTTCGAAGGCTGTGAATATGGAAGGAGAGAGCCACCTCTGCCAAGCGGCTGGTGGGTTCAAACCACCAACCTTTTGATGAACACCCAGATGCTTTAACCAGTGTGCCACCAGAGTGTCTTTCTAAGACCAAAGGCAAAACTATCCATTTTCATCTCAAGCTGGAGGCGTAAAGCTCAAATCCAACCTAAGGTTTTCCTGTGGTGATGACACTGTGTCTGTGGGCCCAGGCACTGCCCCTCAGCTGGGCCGCGCGGTGGCCACCACCCGGGATGGAGTTCTGCCTCCAAGCCTCAGACCCGCCTGAGTGTACACGTTTATGTCATCAGCCCAGCCCGGGAAGCTTGCAGCCCCAACCCGAGTTTCTGACCACTTGCCGGAAGAGAACTCCTCAGCTGCCCCGTCTTGGGCACTCTGTCGGAAAAGGACAAAGAAGACAGCTTACCTTTTGGTTAAGTGCAAGGAAGCTGACGTAGGACTCTTCCATGGGGAGGAGGAACACCAGGGCGCTGCCGCCATGGCCGATGCGGGCAGTGCGGCCGCAGCGATGCACAAAGGCGCTGTGGACAGAAGGCGGGATGTGGTCACCTGGTCAGCCACGTGATGGTGGCCAAGTGGGCACAGGTGCCAGCAGCACAGCTGACACTTCTCAATGAGGGAGGAGCCGCCGGACCCCCCGCAGCTCAGTCCTGACTCAGGCCCCTTCTTAGAAAAGTACAAGCCTGATACGATTCTCCAGGAGATTTTAAATGTCCACCTTTCTACCTGATCATGCAGGCAGGGCATGCTCCCAGCAGGAAGAAGGGGAAACAATGAAAAGTATAAAAACCTCCTGAAAGCCCAGGACCCAAAGTACCCACTATGGCCACTTGAAGGCTGGCATTCACAGATGTCTCACTGTGTGTGGAAGCAGCTGTTAGGAAGGTGTGCCCACTTCTGGGCAGAAGACAGTAATAGGAATTTTCATACACAGTATCAATACTGCTTTTCTCATTTAAATGAAGTATGTGGAAATTAATGGCCACATATAAAATCAATACACATATACAAAGATTTCTCACCCACAAGCCTATTTTTCCTACTTAAAATGTTTGGATGAGCATCAGTCTGTGTTTACCTCCACAGAACTCACATTTCCATCAATTAGATGCCTACACACATCTCTGCGCCGTACCTTGCACTGCTGGGAGGGTCGTACTGCATAACCCAGTTCACTTCAGGGATGTCAATTCCCCGGGCCATCACATCTGTGCACACCAAGATTCCACTAGAAAATGAGAAAGTGTGCTCTAAGTGGGTGCGTCACCGTCATCACTGTGTCCTTACCCATATCAATGACAATGACCTTGATTCACAGGTTCGGCAGTGTCTCAGAATCCAATATTTATCAATGACATTTCCAATTTCTAGGGTTTTACACACTTGGCCAAGGACCTTTCCAGTCACTTGACCCGTAAGCACCGAGTCCATCTATGTAACAAACTCCCAGTGAAAATACACAGAAAGGATTTTTTTCATTAGAACATTTCCATTTGGGAAAAAAAAAAAAAGTGGAGTCTAATCGGTTATAGCCGTTTAAAAAAACAAGTGAAATTTTCCCTCCTTGAGTAAGGTACTTAAACATCCAAGTGTGTCATTTTGCCCAAGAGTACTTTTAATGTAGCCAATGGTCAGTGACTATGAAAAACAGAAAATTATTACTCATACCCACAAACAGAAACAGGTCACGGTCACTAGGAGACCAGAGGTTCCCTAAAGTGTCGCCAGCTGACAACCTACAGCAAGTTTCCAGCCCAGTGAGACGAAGGTATTGCTTCCCTTCTGCTCTGTTCACGCATCTAACAAACAGAGCTCCAAGCCCCTCTGGGCCACGCGCTGGGCTAGACACTAGGGAGTGCAGCAGTGAACACAACACAGTAGGCTTCTGTCCTCAAGCAGCTGCGATCCAGCGGGGAGGTCTACTAACTAAGGCGTTCCTTACAGGCAAGGGGCAGAGGGGCTGGGCCAGAGGAGCGGAAGCCTGGGGCCTCTGCATCAGAGGATGTGATAATGTGATAGCCAGATTAGAGACGCGGGTCCCTGGCAGGGAGAGCATCTGCGAGGGGAGCCCGAGCAGGAGGAACACGCAAGGAGCTCCGGGACCACAGAGTGTCGCGGCTGCGGAGGCCCCACCTCTGCAGTCGGCGGAACTCCAGGAAGGTCCTGTTGCGTCTGTGCTTCATCTTCCCGTGCAGGCACAGGATCGCCACGCCCCTCACCAGGGCCTCCAGAGCCTTCCCGTAGTACTCCACGCAGGCGCAGGTGCTACGAGAGCAGAGGAGGGGCTTAGAGTCACTGGTCACCGTGCCCTTGGTCATCTGTGGGGAAGGGGTGCTGGCTGCTGTCCCACCGGCCCCCTGGCACATGGCAACCCCAGGCGTGACAGGACTGGACTCATGGTCCACAGAGGTCTCACTGGCTGACGTTTAGATGCTACTCTCAGTCTGGAAGCACCCCTGAAACCTGGTCGCTGCACAACATCACAGCAACACTCCAGCCTCCAGTGACAGACGAGAGGTGGGCACAGGAGACACACTGGCTGAGGACCTCACAGCAACAGTGACCCTTACATCGCCGGGTCTTAGCCAATGCCAAGGCCTGCCTGCCTCGGGACTTGCAAAAGGCAGAATAAACCCTCCGTTTAAACAGCTAACATAATGGCTGCTAACCAAAGGTCCACTCTGATGCCTCAGAAGAAAGGCCTGGCAATCCATTTTTGAAAAATCAGCCACTGAGATCCCCGTGGCACACAGTTTGCTCCGACATGTGAGTTGGCGTCAACCTGACGGTCACTGGGGGGGATTAAGCCATAGGTGGGTCTTTCTGTTACCGGAAGCCAAGAGCCTTCCCAACTGATGAAACTGCTCTGGGCAGGATCCTGAGCACAAGGGCCCCAGGCATCCGCCTGACTCCCTGACTCTCCTCCCAGAATCTAGAGGATACCTGAAGAAGACCAGGTGTTTTTCTTGCTTATGGTTTCGAAGAAAATGCACCAGCTGATTAAATTTCTCATCCGCCTTACATACCTGCAAAATAAAGGAAAACTAATAAAAACATAGACGCTGGCAATAATCCCTACAGCTATTTTCAGTTTCAGCCTTCAATTTTAAGGAATCTAACTTTCTCCTTAATTAGGAGACTTTAGCCAGATGTTAACCGGCTCTGCCTAGCTATGAACAGATGTTGACATGCACTGCTCTCCTGCAAAACTTGTTCTAAGTCACAAAAACCATGTAACTGAGAGAAACACAATCATCTGATGTAAAAATTCAGACACATACAATCTTGGCTATAACACCATCAGCCAGAGTAGAATTTTTGAATTGTGCTGAAATACGTATCACAAAACAATTGCCGTTCCTACCACTCTAGTGTGCAAAGCAGTGACCTGCATCCCATCCGTCACCACCATCCAGTCCAAAAATGCTTCCTCTTCCCAAAAAGAACCCGGTCACCCTTTAAACAACAGTGCCCCCTTTCCCCCCGTCACAGCCCCTGGAAGCCACAGAACTGGTTTGGTCTCTATGCACCTGCCTGTCCACATGCCCTATCCCACACTGCCTGTTCTTTGTTCACAAAGACGTGGAACCTTGCAGCCTGTGTCCTCCGATTCTGGCTTACTTCACTTAGCATAACATTCTCAAGGTTCATCTGAATCACAGCGGCATCAGAACTTCCTTTCCCTTCAAGGCTGACCACTGTTCCATTACATGCATGGGGTACAGTGCATTTGGTCCTCTGTTGACAGCTACTGGGGTTGTTTTCCACCTCGCTGCTGCTGTAATAATGCTGCAATGAATACTGCTATTCACGTTTGTCCGGGGTAAATGCAGATTCTCGGGCAGTACACTGATTCTGATTCCCAG